GCCAGCATCTCTGGTTTTGGGATTTTGTGATATGGGCTAATCTCACTGGAGTTAGATGATATCTCAGAGTAGTTTTGATTTGCATTTCTCTGATGAAGGACATAGGTTACTAGACTTGATGCCAGCATTAAAAAACCTGAAGATGGTTTAGGGGGATCTTTTGTTCTTTTTTCTTTTCTTGATTGGTATGACGCCTGTTACTTTTCCTCTTTCTCTACTATGAAGATTTGTTTCTTCCCTTTGCCTGCTATGGTTTGGAAGAAATGATGGATTCTAGACCAGAATGTTTCTTATTAGAAGGCACATTCAGATATAACTACTGTTACATGTGTGCAGTTTATTCAACACTACTGTGTATATAGTGGACAAACGTAAGTCCTTATTTGAAATATCTACTTTTTCTAGACGTTTAGAAGTGTTCAAAGAATGTTAAAAGTAGAGGTAGTAAATAACACATTTTGTAGATACCCTTTTGTTAAAATTCATATGAAATGCTGTCTTGGAAATTGAATGATCAGACCACTTGTCTGAGTAGTACACATTATTTGTGCAGGTTCAGGAGGAAGGAAAAGAGAGTGCAAAGGGCTTTATACCAGTGTGCTTAGAGATGAGGCAAGATTGACTATTGTTATGTCTGTGCATTTGATTTTACTTTGCTGTCTATATAAAGGACAAACGAGTCTGAATTTATAACATCTAGTCTTTCCAGATGATAAAAAGTTTGCCAGTGACAAAAGTAGCGTTAGTAAAGTAATACATTGAGTAGACTTTGAGTTAAAATTCATAGGAAAGACTGTTTTTAAAAAGATTTATGAAAGTGAAATTACTAAAATCCCCTCTCAGCATTACAGGTATGCTTAGACCTGTCTACTGGGTTGGTAGAGGTGGGAAGGGGGACTGTTTTAGGCCAGAATGTTCCTATTTAGAGGACACTTTGAAATTACAGCTTTTGTTATGAGTGTGCACAATTTATTCTATGCTACTGTGTAGTGGGAAAAACTTAAGTCTTGTTTGAAATATCTAGTCTTTCTAGATATTAAAAGTGCACAACATATGTTAAAAGTAGAGGGCTACAGTAAAACCCTTTAAATGTTTTTGTTATTTCATAGGCGTGGTTGCATTTGGGGAATGGAATTGTTAAACTTGATGTCTTGGAGAGTATGCTATCACTGGGTGGTGGAGGGAGGAGAGGAGGAAGTATGCAGAGAAGGGTTCTGTGCCAGTGAGTTAGACTAGTTCAGATTGCTTAGCCGTTGTTCTTTATGTGCATTTAAGTCAATATTGCTGTGTATTAGAGGATAAGCAAATCTTAATGCTCCAAGTATGTTAAAATGGAGGTGGTAAAATAATCCCTTTATATATGTCTTTTTGTTAGTTTTTAGAAAGGATTATCTTCTAGGAGTGACCTCTGTTAATCCACTTCTTGGAGCTAGACCTAGTCCTATATTAGTCCCGGGAACAGAGGGAAGAAGTAGAAGAGGAAAGGTGAAGAAAAGAGCTCTTTGCTAGTATTTCCATATCTAGGAGGTGGCTTTAGATTATAACCATAGGTCTATATGTGCATTTTTAGTAAAGTATTTGTGTTTATTGTGGACACAGTTCATTAGTTTGCAACATTAAACCTTTGGAGCTATCCTGAGGTGACAATGTATGATAAAAAGTAGAACTAGTGAATTAGACATTTTGTAAGTATCTTTCTGTTGTAATTGACAGAAAAGATGCATCTTGGACATGGACTTGTTAAACCACCTCTGAGCAGTGTATATCAGGACTTGTTCATTAGGTTGGAAGCAGAGAGGCAGAAGGAAGCATGAAAGGAGAGATGTGGCAGGTGTATTCACGTTACATTTTGATGGTAGCCACTGATGTATGTGCATCCCTTTTGGCTATACTATAAAAATACATATTAACTAATTTAATATTGCTTGCTAATATTTTAATAGTGTATATCTCATAATTATCTCAGAAACTTTATACTTAGTGTACTTTTGCTTTATGTTTCATGTTAAAGTGAGCATTAGGGGAATGCAGTATTTTTTTTTTTTTTGAATGCAGTATTTTAATCAGAACTCTGCCAGTACTTTTATCTAGAGGCTTGTTGCCATTTTTGTCTCCCATGAAATTTTCATCCCAAGAAAGGTAGGATTACACTTTTTCCTAACAGATCGAGTTGGTGTAGTGTATTCTTGGTTATCAAAATACTCATAGAGCTTTGGGATTTTGGACTGGTAAATATTCATGATTTTTGAAAAAGCATAATATACATAATGTGCAATCTCAATCCCAGGAAATAGGACGTTGTGTATGTATACTCAGGATCTGGAAGGATGTGTCAAACTATAAACTGCTTGTGCTCGTGGATGACTTTGTTCTTTGTTTCTTGTGTTTTCATTTTCCTATACTGCGTGTATTAACTTTAAAAAAAAAGGTTATTATTAAAAAAAAACTTTCAATGTCTCTTTTTTGCTTAAACTTGGAGCCTTAAATACATTTGGAACCTGTTATTAGACTTTCATGGCCTAGGATGCATTGGTTATAACCTACCTTTTTGATTTTATTTCCCTTCACAAATAGCGTGTTCCAGCTAAACACAGGACTCACTGTTCCCCTCACATACTCCATGATTCTTCTGCCAGGAAGTGAACAACTTGCCCCTTTCTAGGCAGAAGGTGGCTCAACGTTCACTTAGTTGTAAGGAAAGAAAACGAAGTTGCTGGTGAGCTGGGTCTGTCTAAGCACAATGCTGAGACAGGAATTGATGGTTCTTATGTTCCAGAAGTAACAAGGAAAAAATAAGGCTTTTCATAAACTACTTACATTTTTAGCATTACATTGTTCATTCATTCAACAAGTATTTTCTGTGTGCTTGCTCTGGTACCAGACACTGTTAGGAGCAAGGAAACAACTGTAAACAGAAGTGGGTATGTTTCTACCTTCAGTTTAGTAGGGGAGACACAGTCAAACAACCATACTGATGAATCAATCTCAAAAGAAAATTGAGGTTGGCACACAGTTAATTTTTGTTGAATAAAGGAATTAATAAGTGAATAAACCTGATATACTCCATTTTTCAACTGTTTAACCAACAAAGCTTGCCTAAATACTTAACAGATTAATTAAGTCTTATAAATCTAATAAACTATTTATCTATAAATAAATCTTAATTAAATCTTATAAATCTAATAAACATATAAATACAGAAAATATCAATTTCTCTTTAAACTGCCCATAATATTTCTTCTTAATAGGTCAGGCTTGATGACTTGGACCTATAATTCTAGCACTTTGGGAGGCCGAGGCAGGAGAATAGTTTGAGGCTAGGAATTGGGCACTAGTCTGAGCAGTATGACCAGACCTTATCTATACAAAAAAAGGAGAAAGAATTAGGGAAGTATGGTGGTACACACCTGTAGTGCTATCCACTCAGGAGACTGAGGCAGGAGGATCATTTGAGCCTGCGGTGACCTATGATTACGCCACTGTGCTCTAGCATGAGCAACCAACTGAGATTTTTTTGTTTTGTTTTGTTTTTTGGGTTTTTTTCTTTTTTCAGTTTTGGCCAGGGC